GGGGACTTCAAGGTGTCCCCCCAGTGCTGGGTCAGGGGAACTCAGGCTGTGCCCCTGCCCAGCAGGGCTTGATGGGGTCTTGATGCTGTACTCCCCCCTCTGGTCGAGCTTGATGGACCTGAGGCTGTGGCCCCCTCCCAGTGCTGGGCTGGGGGACCTGAGGCTGTGCTGCCCCTCCTGGCAGGGCTTGATGGGGGACCTCAGGCTATGCTCTCCACTCAGCAGGGCTTGACAGGGGACCTGAAGCTATGTTCCCTGCCCGGTGGGGCTTGGCAAGGGTGGGCAGGGGCCAGCCAGGTCTCATGCAATTTTGAGGTGCATGTGGGTGGGCAGGGACTTGACTCTGGGTCCCGTGGTGTGTTCCAGACTCTGACAGGAGGAAGGTTTTTATATACATTTTACTAATTTTCTTTATCTCTTGTCACTTCTATTATAGAGAAAGGGCAAATAGCAATATTACAATAAATTATTTCCTCTAATTAAATCCCCTTTTAATGTGCATGAATTTTGTGTACCAGACCACTAGTATATTAAATAATCCTTGGCAAATCTACTCAATAGACTATAATTTGAAAAATATATTTACAAAGATAATGAATTATTAACATAGAAATTGTTTCTGATTTTATATTTGCAGAAATGTCAGGGTACTAAATTAATATGAATTATCATATTAAGCTCCTTTCCATATAAGCCCCAAGGTCTTCTATCCCCATCTGTGTATTTTCCTATTCCCCACCCTCCTTGGCAGGGTTTCTCTTGTGTCTGTCTCTGAGTATGTCTACTGCAGCCTTCCTTTCCATTGTTTCCTGGCTTCTATGCATTTTTTCAGATCTGCAGCTCTCCTTCCACCCCCCCCCCCCCCCCCGCCTTCACTCCACTCAGGCACTACCTTTCTTCCTTCCTTCTGCAAGGCTTCAGGAATACAGGTGGTTGCCTATACTAGATACTGAAGGGGTAGCGATAACAGAGGGGAATTTGAACATAGTTCTGAAAAGAGCATAAAAATGAATGCACATTACTGTTGCTGGAACAAATTCTCTTCCCTCTGTGGTATTCTGGTGCCAACTGTTAAAATAGTACTGTGCTTTCTTTTCCTTCTGAAGAAAATAATATGCATCTTTGAACTAAGGAACTATATAGTGGTTTTTATCGCACATGTCTCCTGTGGTTGGTGGGGCGGCCAAGAGCTCTGTCTGCTGGGGCTGGAGGAATAGCACTGCCATCTGCATGGCCCAGGGAAGCCATCAGCCGGCCACCTTAGGTGAATTTAAGGTGCTGTGATCAAATAGGATTATAGGCTGAGACCCTTTCCACAGGCAAGAGAGGAAATTAAATTCTGCAGTCTCAGAATAGGGACAGCTTTTGCTGTCCCAGAAGCACGTTGGACAAAATTGTGCTTCCTACAAATGGTGCTGCTCTCATATCCATGTGCTGGGAGAAAGATGACTCCTGAGGCTCGGTGCCCTGGTCAGCCATGTCCACAGGAAAAGCAGGAAATGACCTGAAATTGCTCACCACAGTTTACAGCTGGAGGGGAAAGCGGCCAGAGTCTTCAGGATTATTTAATGGGGGCTGAAATCTTATTAAGCTCCTGTTAATAAGCACCGCTTCCTTATTTATCAGCATAATGCGGTCTGGGATTAGAGAGAGAGCTTAGTCTTTAGCTTTCAGGAAATAAACTTTTTTTTTTTTTTTTCTGTCTTACCCCACAGCTGTGAACCGAAGATCAATCATTTTACTGTCACAGTATTGACCTTAACTGTAGTAAGTTCATATCTGAGTGTTTAGTTATGTTCCAATTCTTGATATTTAAAATTATTTCCAGGTATTAAGAAAACCATAATTACAAATATCAAACGTCCTTTCCAAATAGTGGCTCAGGCTCTTTTGAGGAAAAAAAAATTCTGGCCTTATTTTTCTTTGTGATAAAAGCTTGTCTCTGAATTTTAGATAATTTAATTAATTGGGTCCATCAATTTTTCCATCAGAATTTCTAGAATGATCCTTACCGTCTCAGGTAGAGGCATGCAGACTGTCTCTCTTCTCCCCGGAAAATCCCCTTTATTATTATTATTTTTTATTGATTTCAGAGAGGAAGGGAGAGGGGGAAAGAGAGAGAAAAACATCAATGATGAGAGAGACTGATTGATCAGCTGCCTCCAGCACAGCCCATATTGGGGATCGAGCCCACAACCTGGGCATATGGCCTGACCAGAATTGAATCCTGACCTCCTGGTTCATAGGTCTACGCTCAACCACGACAGACAGCCAGCCAGAAACCCTTCTTATTCAGTGTCATAGGCTGGTTCGGGACACGGGGCAGTTCAGAGGGATCCTCCTTTTACCTAGGTATCAGGCTCCCATGAGCAGAGTCCCTGCAGAGCTGAAGCTTCCATTAAACACCCAGGGAATTAGCTAGAAGAGGGGGCCTTGTGCTCAGCGCTCAACTGGGTGGTGAAGCAGATGACAAAATAGAGGAGATGCTTTCTGCAGCTCCATTCGGAAAGTAATAATGTTCTTAGAGCTTCCTGAAGACCACCAGGCATGGATAGGGCTCTGGTCAGGAAAGAGAGCTCAGAATCCTGGTGTGGGGCCTGGGACTGGGCTACTGTCCTGCTGGGGAAAGCCAACGCTATGCAATATTGTGTTGGGCAGGTGGTTGGCAAAGCCTCCCTGGCCAGCCAGAGGTTTCCTTTTAGCGAAGCTTGACTAGGATTGTTCATAAGCATTACCCAGTGCTTTTTATATTCTACTTTAAAAAAAAAATAGAATATTCAAATTGTTCTCTTGCTTTTGTGACTGTGTCCTTCTAGGAAGGTGGACGATAAAGGAGTCCAACAAGGCCCTTGGATCAGGTAAAGGAAGGAAGTCTTTTCCATGCTGGGGCTTAGCTAGGCTCAGCCATCTTGGAATGCCTCTGGGTGAGATCACCAGGCCTCTGAAAGCCTCTGTAGGGCTGCAGAGACCACCTCCACTTTATCTCAGACGTGCAGCCTCTGACCTAGCACTGACTGCCTAGGGGACTGCAGATTAGGCCTGGAGAGAGGCCTGCAGATAGAGAGGTAGGGTCTGATACGTAGCCTCTGTGGCAGCCGTTGATCAGAACTTGCCTCTCTTTCTCTCCCAGCCTGGCCAACAGCAGTGCCTCCATTTCTCTCCAGGCCTCCAGTGGGTCTGCTGATCAGTCTTGCCTTTCTGATCAGGCCAGGTTGATAGGCCCAGAGACACTGACTGGCATAGAAACTGACCAATCAGAACCAAATCTGGGTGAATGTAAGGGGCCAATGGCTGCCTAGGAGGCAGAGCTTTTGATGCTGACTGGCATAGAAAAAGATCAATCAGAACCAAATTGGCTGGTAGAGGAGGGCAGTTGGGGGTGAGATCAGGTTGGCAGGGGGGGCAGTAGGGAGTGAGATCAGGCCAGCAAGGAAGGGCAGTTAGGGCTGATCAGGCAGGCAGAGGCAGTTGGTGGCGATCAGGCAGGCAGGCAGAGGAGTTAGGGACAATTAGGCAGGCTGGCAGGTGAGTGGTTAGGAGCCAGTGGTCCCAGATTGTGAGAGGGATGTCCGACTGTCAGTTTAGGCCTGATCTCTCAGGATTGGTAGAATCAGGGAGTGGGCCTAAACCGGTGGTCAGACATCCCCCAAAGTGTCCCGGATTGGAGTGGGTGCAGGCTGGGCTGAGGGAACCGGCCCTCCACCCCCACCCCCCAATCCTATGCATGAATTTCATGAATGGGACCTCTACTATATTATAAAGATATAATGCCTATCATATTTAGCTTTAAAAAAATGATGAGAGCCCATTATTATTACACATTATACACAAGAAGAAACAGAAGCAGAGTAAGGTTAGAAAAAACCTCTCTATGATCATGCACCTGGTAGAGCAGAGATTTGATTGTAAATGGAAGTCCCTGAACTTGAGGAAGACACCAGGATGTCCTTTCCTGTCATTTTAGGGACTTCTAAGATTCTGAAAGGATCTGATGACTTATTTTCCAGACTACGGTGATAGGGAAAATTTGGATTAATTAGCTGCATATTCTGTCTTCTAATTTTGTCCCAGTCAGGTTTGGTTTTGTGACAAGATTTCTATTGTAACTGTGAGGGCCTTTCTCAAGGTATTGGAGGCATTTCCACACCACTGTTTCAAACAGTACTCAAATGCACTTTTATTTACTTCACTATCTGTTTGTTCATCTGAGCACGGAGTATTTTATCTGGATCAGGTTCATCTGATAATTCCGAAGTGATTTTTCCACCCCTACCTGCTCCAAATCCCTTGCGTTAGGAGTTTTATTTTTCTGTCACCAGTGTGTTGGCTCATTTTTCTCAGAACTTTGTTTCTCAGAGCAAGAATGACTCATACCCATGCTAAGTCAGCAGGATGGCCAGTGAGGGAAATGGAGTCAAACCTGGAGTTTATCTATGTTAGGGATGATGGTTCAGAGAGAAATGCTGTCAGGCAAAGGATGAATTGGTGGCCAAGGCATAAAAAAACAAGCCCAGGGTTCAGACAATTAGAACAAGGGACGGTGAGAGCTGGCCTGGAGGTGAGCCAGGCGCAGTGAAGCTCTAATGCCCATCCTGTCCCACGGCACCTGTTCTTCGTTTTCATCGTATTTACTGCAAGAGAGCACCGAATTTGTGAAAATTCGCTACAGCAACTTTAGGAAACTAATTCAGTGAGTGATCTGGTAACTGTGTCATTTCTATATACTGCAGGGATAAATTCACTTTTCAGTGGAAATTGTCATACATGTTGATGGGTGTTTAATTTGGAAAAAGCTTCTTTGGAAAATAGTTTGACTTTCTCTAGTAACACAGAAGCTAAGCATACCCCATGACCCCATAAACAAACCCTGGTGTACGTATATACCAGGACATGTGTATAAGAATGTGTTAAAAAAAAAAAAAAAAAAAAAGGAACAACCACAGAATTCAAGTGAGTACATTTGAAGACCCAATGGACTTTATTAGATGACTTGTGAATTGGGCAGCAAATAGAAAGGTGCTCTGAGGAGTTGAACAAAATTGGAAGTTTTTATAGACAGAAAAGGGGGGTGTGCAATGGAGCTTTTGCAATATAAAAGAAAGAATTGTTTCAGGCCAGGTCATCTTTTATTTGAGGGGGAAAAGAGTGGCAGGGGTCTCATGAAAATTATCTTACGAGTGCTAATCAGGTTATTTTAAAAAATATATACTTTATTGATTTTTTACAGAGAGAAAGGGAGAGAGATAGAGAGCTAGAAACGTCAATGAGAGAGTATCATCGACCAGCTGCCTCTTGCACACCCCCTACTGGGGATGTGCCCGCAACCAAGGTACATGCCCTTGACCGGAATCGAACTTGGGACCCTTCAGTCCGCAGACCGACGCTCTACCACTGAGCCAAATTAAACCGATTTCGGCTAATCAGGTTATTTTGATTAACTGCTTGAAGTTTACATTCCTAAAAGAGGATCTGGCAATTAGGTCTTGTTTTGCTGTCATGGGGGCAAATGACTCCATTTTGGGCATGTTCTTTCTTTTTTAACAATCCCGCCCTTTTGATCAAATTCAGCCTGAGACATGTGGGAAACAATAAAGGCATTAGAGACACTCTCAGCAACCACTCTCTAGTTCTTGCAGCTTTTGCTGATCCTTTGTGTGGTAATCCTAGGTCATGACATTGTGCTGAATCTTGGAACTCTCACAGGCTATGGCCCCAGGCCCACAACTTTCAAGACTGTCACTTTCTCTTCCCTCTCAGGTCCTAGGGAGGTCATTTGCTGAGTAGTTAGCACCTGTGAACATGCATTTAAACTTCCCGAGGAGAGTTGAACCAGGTACAGCAGGTAGTGTTGGCCACAGCAGACACCTCCTTGCTCAGCAAAAATATAATAGAAGTTTATTCTATTATCAAGAACAACTTTGGCTAGAGAATGTAAGGATTTGGGTGGGGGATGAGGGGTAGCTATTGCTAATACAGATTTCTGCTTCATTTGTATTTATTCCTAAACCAGGGAAGCAAGGACCTGCCGAAGGTCCTTTTGAAATTTAAAATGAAGCCTCCTCGTAAGAATTCTAACTCAACAATGTAAACTCAGAGAAGTTGACCAATGAGGAATCCCAGTTCATTTGTGAAGTTAGGGTAATCTAAGAGGCACTGCCTGCCTGTGTGCTATGGTGGGACTGTGAATAGACTAAATTTTCAGGAATTGCTGCATATACCTGTTCAAACCAGGGGTTAGTTAGATTTTTAATGCATATGAAAAGAGACTCTCCTAGCATGAAACAAAGAGTCATCCTAAATGCCTTGTAACAATGGGTGCTGCTGTGGAGGACTCCTAATGGGTGGAGGAAAATCGTAGCTTGTTAATTATGTATAAATTGGAATCTTTGATAACGATCCAACAATCTGAAAGGTTATCCTCTTAGTAATGGCCTGCGAGATGCATGTTGGTGTTAGCTTTCCAAGCCAATGCTAGAGTAAAGGAAAGTAAAAGAAGGCGGAAATGTTCCAAATTTATTGAAGTGGGAAGTCTTCTTATTTTTATTGTGTTTTTTTTGTTTTGTTTTTTGTTTAAATATAATTTTTATTAATTTCAGAGAGGAAGGGAGAGCAAGAGAGCAATAGAAACATCAACAATGAGAGAGAATCATTGATTGGCTGCCTGCTGCACACCCCCCAATAGGGATCAAGCCCACAACCTGGACATATGCCCTGACCGGGAATCGAACTGGTGACCTCTTGGTTCCTGGGTCCACGCTCAACCGCTGACCTACACCCAGCTGGGAGAAGTGGGAAGTCTTGATCCTTTGATTGAACAGAAGCACTCTAATTGATGTCAGCTCGTTCCCGTCTTAATCAATTTGGTTTGGAGGTCTCCAGTGTCTGTACAGGACCGGATGTCAGGTAGAGCCTGATGCACATCCACAGCTCAGTTTTGTAGCAGGAGCACTTGGAAAGGTACTTTCTAATGGGGCTCGGGGGCTGTCTTCCTCTCATGATGCTTCCGGAATACGAGCACCACGCTCGTCTAGACTGTAACAAACAGGAATCTTTGAATTGGGATCTGGTAAGGCTTCTTTAACCTGTTGACAATAGACTTGTGTTATAAGACATTAAAGACTTACAGGAGCTGGTCATACTAGCATGGACACAAAGGGATCAGCAGATGGTTATATCCCATATCCCTAACTGTTCATGTAATTTACAAACATTGTTTACCCATCTTAACACTCTACTTTTGGAGCACACTGTTACCATGTTATAAGAACACCAGGATGGCAAAAGTCTGGCAATGAGGGGCCATTTTTAGCAGATCAACTTTGAACCACTAGAACCACATTTCTGGCCTTACAGAGACTTGCAAGACAAAGATAGTGTTTCCAGTTCCCTAAGAACTGGATTGCAGCTTGAATAATATCAAAGCAATAACCCATCCACTTATGGTTGGAATGGTTCTTTCCTAGTTTTAACATAGGGGGGAAGGTATTAAAAAACATTCCTACCAGGCTCTGAATGTCAGCTTCCAATATGACCAAATTTGTGATCAAAGTTTATTAATTCCTTTCAAATATCTTATCAGGTTTTAACCAGGACAAATAGTAAATATTTCTGTTTCCTGATGTTTGTTTAAGAGAATATCATGGCAGTTTTCTAGAAAATCTCTCATTTTTAGGGTCCCATCAGTTTTAGGAGGGGCTTCTGCGTGGCCCTCCTTTGAAGGCAGGTGTGAAGGCATTGGAGAATTTGCAAAGAATCTTGAGGACAGTTTCCTCTCCAGTGTGCCAGTTGATTACAATTAAGACATCAATTTCTGGGCCAGTGTTTTGATACCGGAAAGGGTATAACAAGAAGGCCTAAATACCTTTCATAGCTTTAATTTTTTATTGTTAGCATTTTGCAATGAATCTTTCAATGAAAGCACTTTGGAGTAAGAAGGCTTTTTTTTTTTTTTTTTTTTTTTTTTTCTTTAGGTTCTGCATATCAATTAAAGTAGCCATACCATTTCTTTTTGTTTAACTGGCATCCTTTGCTCTCAAATGCATTTCTTAAGTGAACAATTTTGTCTAATTGGAATATTCCCTATAATGACCATTGTTAATACTTTGCCATTTTGCTAAATATCTGCAGTTTTTGGAACTATAGTTGTAAATTTTTTTTGGATATAAAAGATGCCATTTCCCTTAACCTTTATCTGTAGAAAAAAGGACAAACAAATTTGTGCACCTAAACATATCAGCAATAACCAAGAGATATTACTGTGTCCTGGCCAAGAAAAAGCTCTGTGGACACCACTGACAATTCCCATGGAACCATGGATTAGAGAAAGAAATGAACCAGCAAATCACAGGAATGGGACTGTGGACTGATTCCAAACAAATGGAGAATTCCACACCGACAGTTCCCAATATGGAATTTGGGAGCAGAATCAAGGGCTAGGGTTCTCCACAATATTGTCAGCAACCAAGCGATGTTACTGAGTCTTAGCAATTGTGGTCTGAAAGGTTAGGGAGAACCTCTGAGCCAGCTCAAGCTGACCTACCCAGTAAGGGAAAGCCGATTAAACCGGGAGCTTAAATGCAAAAAGAGTGGAGCTCAAAACTGAGAGGAACTTACAGACAGCCCCAGAAATGATGAGAAAGACAGTGAATTCAAAAGGGTTCCTGGATTCCACGCCCATGTTTCTCTTCTCTGACGCCACTGGAAATCTCCTTTGATGGCATCCCTGCCCCCAAATCTGTTATAAAACAAAATTTAACCAAATAAATTTAGAGATCTAATTGGCTTTATTAAGTGATTCATGAATCAGGCAGCACCCCATCTAGCAACCAGAGGGGTGCTCTAAGGAATGGTACAAAGTAGGTCATTAATATTTCTTGAAATATTTAATATTTATTAAATGTAATGTTATATTTTAAATAGTTTTTCTTGAAATTAAAAAATAAATAAATAAAGCAAAAACCTCACACCAGGTAGAAAGGCTATTATTAAAAGACAAGAAATAACAAGTGTCAGTGAGAAAGTGGAGAAAAGGGAACCCTTATGTACTGTTGGCGGAAATGCAGTTTGGTACAGCCAATATGCAAAACAGTATAGGGGTTCCTAAAAGAATTAACAATAGAGCCATCACATGATCCAGCAATTCCACTTCTGAATATCTACACAAAGAGGACTAAAACACTAAATTGAAAACATATATGCACCCTCACGTTTACTGCAGTGTTATGTATAATTGCTAAGACAAGGAAACAACTTAATTGTCCGTCGATGATAAAACCAAGTTTTAAATGAAGATAGGATTAGGGGAGGAGGTTCCCATATGAGTAAGGGCAAGTCTCAGAGAGAGGGCAGCTGTGGGTTATCATTCAACATTCACAGCATCTGGGGAAGAGGTGCATTGGCCAGGTAAGGGGTCCTGGGTGGGCCACCACCAACAACCATTACACACCTTTCCTCCAGTCCATGTGTTTAAGTTTGGATTGATTCTGTTCCTTTAGTATTTGGGGGAGGAAAAAAGAGAGAACAAGGGCCAAAATCCTTAGTCATGGTCATAGCTTCTGGGATAAACTTGTGACCTAAACAGCATCCTCTCAAGGATATTCTGCTGGATCCAACAGAGAAGATACTCTGGACAACATAAGCTGGAGCTGCTTGTGGCCACCTTTCCCGGCTGCATTGAAGGAACTTGCCTATAACAGGAGAGGATATCAGCAGGCAAGAAATCTGAGCCAAAAAATAAATTGAAGAGAGAGAGTGGCCTGAAAATACTGATTTGCACCATCCTGCCCCAATTCAACAAAATGGTTGGTCACTAATCTATTGCTCTATAACTCCTTTATCTTCTCTGTATTCTCAGACAAGCCAAGGCTTTTCCATTCTGTAATGTATCAGTTAGGAACATTTTGTTGTCTAGAACAGAAAGTCTAACTTAAGGAATAAAATCAACTCAAGGAGTAAAAAGGGGTGTGAGGAGAGGAGAGGAGAGGAGAGGAGAGGAGAGGAGAGGAGAGAGAGAGAGAGAGAGAGAGAGAGAGAGAGAGAGAGAGAGAGAGAGAGAGAGAGAGAGAGAGAAAGAAACTGACTTATTGGCTCACATAACTGAAGAGCCCAGGAGTAGATTTGTTTCAGAGGTGGCTGGAGGGGCATGCCTGACCTCATCATGATTCATCTCTTGGATCTGCTTTCTTAGGACTGGCTCCATCTTTGGGTTAAATGTGAATTAGACAATAAGCTGAGTGACAGATATTCTGGTTTCCTCAAATTCTACTTACTCCATTTGACAATAGTTCCATGATTCCTGAATCAAACACCTCTGCCTGGGTTCTCTCTTTCTTTAGGATAAATTATTTCCGAATCCCATCAGTTCTTCCCCATCAGTTCTTTCCTCATGATCACTTATACCAGAGCCTTAGTAAAGGACAATTTGGTTTTACATTGCACCATCCTGCCCCAATACAACAAAATGGTTGCTCACTAATCTGCTGCTCTCATAATTCTTTTATCTTCTTTATGTTCTCATACTATTTTACTTCAGTATGCTTTCTTTTTGGTTCTCCTTCTGCTTCTCAGAGAAAGTTATTAAAC